TGGGCTGGCTGATTGTGGGGCGTTAAGAACAGAGGTGATTGTTTTAAAAAGCACACGTGGATTGCTGGAGTTGGAGGAGATGATGTCAGAGAAATATTTGTTTTTTGCAGCTCTAACAGTGGACTGATAGAAGCGCCAGCTGTCCCTCAGAGCTTGGAAAGACACCTGTAGTTTGTCCTTCTTCCACTTCCGCTCTGCTCTCCTGCACTGGCGTCTGGCAGATCGTGTGACCTCATCAGCCCAGGGGTCAGGCTTTGGTCTGGAAGCTCTTGTTTTTAATGGAGCCACAGCATCTAAAACGTTTTGACAGGCTGAGTTAAAATTAGATGAGAGAGCATCGATATCTGAATGAAGACTCACAGGGTCTGTGGGGCTGATGGCAGAACTAAAAGCTGCAGAGAACTGAGAAGCAGTGGAGGAGTTAATGACCCGACGGGGCTGTGCAGGAGCGCGAGGTTTGACTGAGCGACAGACGAGTGGCATGTCAAACACAACAGGCATGTGGTCTGAAAAGGCAGCATCACAAACTTCCACATTAGAAACATTAAAACCGTGAGCTAACACAAGGTCTAAGGTGTGGCCACATTCTTGTGTTGGATCAGACACAAACTGAAGCAAATTAAAAGAGTCTATCAGCTGTAAAAACTCTTTGACCAACGGTTTATCAGCACAGCACACGGCTATGTTGAAATCTCCAACTATCAAGATCCTGTCATATTTAGGCAAGACTCCAGCCAAAAAATCTGCAAAGTCTGTCAGAAAGTCCTTATTGTATTTTGGAGGTCTGTATAAAACAGCACACAGTACGGGTTGTGAAGATCCGAGCTCAAACAAGTTGAACTCAAAGCTGGAATAACATGTTAAAGGTGTGATTTGTTTACAGAAATAGCTCTTCCTGTAAACAGTCGCTATTCCTCCTCCACGACCCGTCGTCCATGGAGAGCTGAAGTATGCACAGTTTGGTGGCAGGAGTTCACAAAAAGCACTGGACTCACCGGCAGTTATCCATGTTTCAGTAATGAATAAAAAATCCAGACCACGGGAGGTGAAGAAGTCCTTCAGAATAAAGGTCTTGTTTGTTAAAGATCTAGCATTAACCAGAGCCATGTGAACATGAGATGGAGCCAGGGTGACGTCATCCATCCGAGGAGCTCTTTCCAGCAGCCGCAGGTTGTGGTGGTTCACTCCGCGGACGCGGAGGAGAGGAAAGGAGAGGCCGCGCAGCAGCGGCCCCCCACCCAGGCCAACAGCAGCCGGGGTGTGATCCGACGCAGGAGCCAGATCGAGCAGGTTGTGGTGGTTCACTCCGCGCACTCGGACGAGGGGGGGGGAGGGGGGAGGCATCGCGCAGGTTGTCCCTCACCCAGGCCAACAACAGGAGCCAGAGAAGAGCTGATGAGATCCAGGGAGCGCCATGAGATAAAACAATTAGATGCAGCTCCAAACTCAGATAGAGCGGATAGGGAGGACACCAGCTGAGCTTTCAGTCTGACCAGCTGGCCGCTGCGTCTCCCGCGGCGTCTGCGCGCTCTGCGCGCTGGTGGAGCTGGGGCGCGGCACAGGTAGGCCGGCACGTCCGACAGAAATGGAGGGAAAAAAGTTTTCTGGCTGTCATTCACAAACGGAGCCAAGTTGTTAATATCGGGTCGAAGATTAAAAAGCGTTTGGCGATTATACACCAGCAGAGAGTCGACACTAGTTATAAAAGCAAAAAACAACACAAAAACAATCAAAGTATGCAGGGAGAGGCAAGCCGAACACACTGGCGCCGCCATCTTGCATCACGATGCATACGACTAATGTGTCAGGTAAACCTACAAAAAAGCAGTGTATTTCAAATCAAAGCTGCATAAAGAATGCAAGACACCAAAGTAATTTATTTATTTTTGTAGTGGTTTGACAAATTAAAACATGTTCTTGTTGAATTCAGTGCATTTATTTAACGTATCACATCAGACACGAACTACAATCCACCAAAAGCACGTTTTCATCAGGCTTCTTCATCATTATCATCATCCTCACTCTTTCAACCCTTCTCATCTTCACTTGTTATCCTGCAGCTCCACCTGTGACTGACAAAGCATTACACAACACAACAATTTTAAACTCAGAAGTACAGTAAATGGACTACTTATATATCACCTTTCTATCTTATTTCAAGATACTCAAAGCTCTTCACTACAATCTGTGCTTCATTTACCCATTCATACAGCTCTATACTAGATCTCTACATAGATAATTGAACTAATCATTCTAAAGAGACTAATCAGTGCTTTAGATCACATTCATACAC